TGGAATTGGAAATTCCACCTTTTAGTGTTTGATACCTTATATTTTCCATGGAATTGCATTTCTTGGAACTTGGAATTTTCCTTGTTTTAGTGGAATTTGAATTCTCACGATATATGGTGAGAATTCAAATTCCACCCTACTGTAGCGATTATTTTTTTTTTCTTCCATCTTTTTTTTTTTTTTGGTTAGTAATGGAAATCAATTCTAAGAATTATTGTAAAAAAATATTTATTTTTAATTGACAATTTTCATGTAAAACAAAATCAAACGAATATTAAAAAACACTTTTATTTCAACATTTTTCACGTGAAAAATTATACCAATCAAAAACAATAATTTACAATTCCCAGAAAAACAATTTTAGGCAATTCAATTCCCTGGAATTCGTTTTCTAGACAATTCAATTCCATTTTTGCAATCAAAAGGACCCTAAGTATAAAATTGAGTGACCTTGATGAAATAAAATCAAATTCGATGGTCATCATGACATTAAATATAGAGTTGGATGGTCATTGATTAATTTAACCCCCTAAGATTTTGGTTTTAATACTTTGAACGTTTGAAAGAAACAATTAGCAAATTTATAGTAATATTTTGTGTACACGTACCCACGAATTATTTGTCACTTTTTGAATTTTTCTTGACATTGTAATCTTCATTTTCCTGCGATGAATATTAAATTTAAATTTATTTGGGGAGTTAATTTTTTAATCTCCAACGTTAAATAATGTTTTCTTCTTTCATCGAAGTCCCAAACTTCAGCCCCATAGAAAATCAAAGGACATATATGGACCCTAAACCACATCCCTTCCAATCGAAAGAAATTTCAAATTAAGTGTGGTACATAATCTCTAACATAATAGGTAAAATATCAAATTTTCGCCGAGTAAATATCAATTTTTGTGTTGATTATCATCTATCTTGCTACATATTTTCTCAATTATCCTAATCTATATTCTGTTGTCATATTCTACATTTGTCATACTCTGCTATGAAATAGATCTGATCTTACTATAAATATGATAAACGGTGGATTTTCGACAAACTAAGTCTCTCATTTGGACTACGATTATGCATTTTGTGAACTATTTGTCCCGCATGATAATGGTGAATTTGGACAAACTATATTTCTTTCCGTTAGATATAAAGAATTTTGTTTATTATTTTCACCAATTGATAATGAGCTACATTTTTCGCTCTTTGGAGGAGGTACGTTCTACCTTATTGTAGTATTCTTGGCAAAATTAATGTCACGTCTTTCGAATTGAAAAAAATCGTTAAATGACGAGTTAAAAATAACAAACAAAAAATATGGCTGTTTGACATGAAATTATAATTCCGATCATCTTTTTATTTCTCATTTTGCCGTCCCTCTTTTGGCTTCTTTTGACTTGTCTTTTTAATTGTCGGGATAGGTTATGAATAGCAAATTTTTGGAAAATATGGTTAAAAATTAGGAATAAGTTTTGAATTTACTTGAATTATATATTATTATGAGAATATAGTGTTGAAAATGAATATAAAAAAACAAGAGTTTTGAAAGAATGATTGTCAAACAGGGACTTAATTCCATTTTGGTGTCGCCTCTTTTGATTTTTGATTTTTGATTTTTTTACATTTTTCCACTTGTCAAGATAGGTTTTTGGAACCGTTTAAAGTATTCCCGACAAATTTCACAGCATATGTTTTGAATTGAAAACCCATTAAAATGACAAGCTAAGAATAACATTGAAAAAGCTAAATGCTACAATTAAATTCGATAGACTAATTTCATTTTTGTTTTTAGATATCAATATGTTTTAAAATTCTATTTGATGTCAATTTGATTCATCTTGCTCATATATTTGTTTCAACTTTCAAGTTAATGTTAAATAGGATCTCCATAATTCTAATAAACGATGGTTTTAATTTCTTAACTTTTAAACTGTACATTGCCTACTTTCCCCAATTGATAACATCGTGGCTGAGCCGATCTAGCAAACTTATATGGAGAAAATTTCATATCTAAAAGTTTAACTATGACGTATTTTAAAATTAAGAAATCAGGTTTAAGATTTCAAAAATAAGATATTATTAAATTTTATTTATGAAATAATTAATTAAGAATATATTTTATTAATTAAATATAGTAAGGTCACAATTCCTTATAATTTGGTCACAAATTCTCGAATTAATTGGATATAATTTTTTTCGGTCACATTTCAAAAATTTTACAGGTTACAAATTATTTTTTGGTCATAAATCAAACAATTTTATAAGTCACAATTTATTTTTCAACCATAATCAAAAAAAATTATAGCTAACAATTTATTTATCGATCACAAAATCAAAAAGGTTTATAAGTTACAATTAATTTATCGAGTCACAAAAATCTTTACAAGTCACAGCTAATTTAACGATAACAAATTATCGAAGTTATTGATCATAAGTTATTTCTCGATCACAACTTAATAAATTGTGAATCACAATCGCATTTTTCGGTCACATTGTATATGGATCACAAATTATCTAATTTATTGGTCAAAAACACCCTTGGTCCCACTCAACCATCGTTACCACCACCAATATCATAGCATCGTTGCCATCACATCGCCTGCACCACAACTATTTGCGAGTATCACTGCCAACAACTCTAGATCGACCATCACACCACCTCATTAGCGCCAAAGTCTACCGGCACCACTGCCAACAAATAACACCCCCAAAAAACCAATAAAAATTGACTACCTTTGTCAATGCCACCACCATATAAACCGTTGCCTCTAGTGCCACCATTATCATCAATACCTCACCATAATCTATAGCAGTACTAGTACCACCACCATCCTAAAACCACCAAAACATGGAAATCGATACTGTTAGTTCTTGTGTTGGCAATTCTGTGAACAAAAAAGTCAAATTATAATTGTTCCAAAGTTTGGGATCAATTTGTCAATATTTAAAGGTTATGGTCAATTTTTACATGTGTAAAAGTTGGGGGACTAAGTTGCAATTCTGTCAAAGTATGTTAGGGTTTGAGTAATGAAGTAGGGCAATATGTGTCGTCGAAGTTTCGCTAGTTACTCGCCAAGTGGTTGCTCGAGCGTCAAAAACAGAATGCCTTTCGTTCGCTTTTCGCCCCTACTTCACTCGAGCAAAACAACATCGCTCGCTTTTTGCTCGAGCGATAGTATTATCC